GTCCTCCTGCAAGGCGAGGCCTCCTTTGCTGTCCTCAACACAGCAGCGATGCGTTGTCATCGCTGGGAAGTTGGGGACCAGAAAGGCTGTGTCCACGTTGGGAAAATTTCAGATGGCTTCTAACCGCCGCCTCCGTCACCGTGAGAGAGACTCTGAGTTTTTGCTGGGGCCGTGCTACGCAGAGAACTAGCTGTCCCCCCTCGGTCCAGGGGAGCTGAGCAGCGCTGCGAGTGGGTCAGGGCCCAGGTGCATCCTTGAGCTCTGCCTGTGGAGCCACCCCCCTGCACTCAGCCCACAGGGCTCCTGGCCTGAGACCTGGGGGGGGGTGGGGGGTGGGGAGAGGGGTGACAAGACTTTGAAAGGGCTCCAGGGGCTGCCATTCCAGTTTGATTCCTGAGGCAGCTCTGGGGGGCGGGTGATGGGCTCGGGCGCACACCCCTTGCTGTGTCCTCAGGGTCCTTGCTCCTGGGGCCAGGCAGGGGCCTGCATCTGGGACACACTCATGGGGACAGGTGCCTCCCAGGCCTTGCCCCAGAGAGGCCAGAGCTCCAGCCCCTGCCTCGTCTCCATCTGCAAAGGCCCCAGATTCCAGGCACCGAGGAAAGCCCTTTGACCCCACTCCCCGTTCACAACCCAGATGCCCAGGGCCCCCGGGGGGAGTTGTAGTATCCGAAGGGAACAGAAACAAGTCAAGCCACACCCTAAAGAGTGGCCGGTGTCCCAGCTGGTCCCTCCGCCTGCATTGTCCAGGGGTCAGGAGACCTGGCAACCTTGCCCCCTGGCTGCCTCCTTGAGGCTGGGACGGGGGGGGGGGTGGTGATGGTTTCCTGATGCCCGTCAGTGTGCTCAGAGCATGGCAGCGGGTCTGGGCATGTGGCCTCCCGGAGCTCAGGTGGGCCCGGTGGTTTGTCCCCACGGAGAACTCTTGCCGGAGCGCCCTGTGCTGGGGAACAGGGACAGGCGGACGCCTCCGGCCCATCACGCTCTGGCGCTGTGCCTGCACCTCGCGAGCCCCCAGCAGGGACCCGTCTGCTTGGGAAGCTGCCTGGGAGGGGAGGGCCCAGGACCTGTTTTCCTGCACCCGTGTGGTGACCGCTCGGCCACCGACCACAGCCATCCCCCGAATGTGACACGTGTTGTCCCATTTGTGGAATGTTGTGGTCGGGGCTTGTCCCCCGGGAGGCCATAGCCCGGGTAGGCAGTCCCCGCCCCGCCCTGCCTTACAGCCTTCTCAGCAAGCAGGCGGATGGGACGCCCCCCCAGGCAACCTCAGCTGCGGAGAGTCACCGGCCGCCTCCAAGGCCCGCGTGGGGAGAGGACACTCCTGTGGCCAGCAGCTGGCCCGACACGGGGCGCCGGCTAGAGGAGAGCCACAGCCCCGTGGACCAAGGTAACCGGGCACCGCGGTGGCTGCGGTGGCAGCCGAGGACAGACGGTCACTCTGGCCCTGGCAACTGGGGGCAGCATCGGGCTTGAGGTCAGACAGACCTGCGTCCTGGCACGCCTCACACGCGCCGTGTGGCCTCCCTCTCCGTGTCTGGGCGCACGGCGGGCCCGTTTGCAGGAGGGCCACCTGCGTGCACCTCGACCGACGTTCCCGGGCAGCGGGGGCTGGGCGGGCGCGGAGGCTGTCCTCCCTTCCCTCCGTCTCCTCCTCCGTGTGAAGAGGGGCCAGCTCAGGGGGTGTGCACCCTTCCCAGGGCTGATTTTCTCACAGGACTTCATAATTCCTGGACGCTGTGCCCCCGCGTCCTCCGTTCTGTGCCCATCAATGCTGACAGTCCCCTTGCCTCACAGGAGACCCCCAGAGCAACCCCAGCCCCACGTCAGCAGAGGAGAAGACCCGGCCTCTGACAGACAGCCGTGCACAGAAGCTCCAGGGCCCCAACTCCCCGGGCGGAGGGGGTCCCTGCGGCCCCCTGGAAGCCAGCGTGAGTTGAGGCTAGGTCCTGCCCTGGCTGCAGGCAGAGTGGGGGCCTGGCCGTGGCTTAGTCGGGCTCTACCGTGTGGCTTTCGGTGGGGGCCGCCCTGTCCACCAGATGATGGTGTTGAGGGGATGGGACCTCTTTGGCCCTTCTCATCTGGATTCCTCTGTTGAGGGGCCTTTGGTGCCTGCTGGGAGGAGGGGTATCTGGTAAGTGGGGGTCTCCTCGGCGATCTTTAAGGGGATGGTCTTTGTTCCTTACGGTGGTAACTCCATGGGAGCACAGGGCTTTACCCACGGCTAAGGGGCACGGACCGATGGCCTCGTGGCAGTGGCCACACCCTGGCTGTGGTCTTTCTCCCACAGGTGGTTGAAGGCCGCATCGGCCTAGCAGGGTCAGAGCTGGGGCTGGATTTTGCCAGCAGCCCCGTGGAGGAGCCCCACAGAATGGAAGGCTGGTGGCCGGGGGAACAGAGGTATGCGGTCTGGAGGGTTGCCTGAGCCCAGGGGACCCGCAGGCAGGGGGTGGGGTCCTGGGGCATGGAGACGCCCGTCCTCTCGTTGGAAGAGGACAGCTCACTCTGTCCGGGTGCCCCTCGTCCTGAACCGGGTCCTCTGTGCCCCCTCAACCCACCCCATGCCCTCCTGAGTCTGACCCCCTCTGTGGAAGCAAAGATGTCACCTGGGGAGTTGGCCCACGATCCCGTGCTGGGGGCAGCGGGAGGGGCCCTTCCAGGGAACGGGTGCCTCTGAGCCTCTCAGAAAGCAACGCCCCCCAGAGACCTGACCCAGTGGGGACTGAGGCCAGAACCTCCTAAACACGGGGCCCCCTGCCCCCACCCGGGGAGCCCTGCGCTCTGACCGTCACCTCCTGTCGGGGCAGATACCTGGCGGGCACGGGTGTCAAGCTTACGGGGGAGTTGAAGGCCCCGTGGAGGCCCTGAGCCGTGGGGATGAGGCCGGGGGATGGGGCCCTCTCCTGGGCGCCCCCTGGGACATCCGCACAAATGTGTTTGCAGGACTGAGAGCTGCGGCCCCTTCTCTCCACCGGAAGCCGCCCAGCTGACCGCTGCTCCAGGTGAGGCCCCGCCGTGCACCAGGACCACGGAACCCCCACCCGCGGGTCCTCCGCCACCAGCTCCTCCTCGGCCAGAACCACCCTTCCCCCAAAGCCCCGCGGGGGAGCCCCGCCCACTCGCCATACCCATGGGCCGGCCGTCCAAGCGGAGGACTGTAGGGAGGGCCCCTGTCTGGAGCCGTCATGCCCCAATAAACACAGGACGGCTGCAGTTCTGAGGCGGGGCCCCCAAGGCACAGAGATGTCCCCCCAGACGTGGCGCCCTTACTTGTGCTGGCGGGTGGGTGGCCGAGCTAACAGGTGTGGAGCCGGGGGGGGGGGGGGGGGGGGGGGGGGGGGGGGGGGGGGTGGCGCTCCGCAGACCACGCTGGGGCTGTGGACCTTTCTTCCGCCTCCACCGGGCCCTTCTGGTCCCGATCCGCTGGCTTAGGGGCTGTGGGGTGTGGGCCGCAGGGGTGGCAGGGGGCGAGGGCTGGGGGCCTCACCCCCAACTCCCCCCTCTCCGCAGCTCCGGTACCACCCAGCCGGCCTGAGGGCAGCCCCCTGCCGCCGCTCAGGGCCCCCTCGGACCCGGGCCCGGAGTCCGAGGCTGCTCCCCGGAGCTGCTCGGGGTCTTGGGCGGGGTCCCCTGCCTCCTCCTCCCCGAGTGGGGTGTCCTGCCGCTCTCTCCAGGAGTTCCAGAGAGCAGCCGCCGTCCTGGTTCAGCTCTGCGAGAGCCCCGTCTCCGTGTCAGACTGGGGGGGTGGGGACGTCCCAGACACGGACCCCAGCTGTTCTGGGGAGCTCTCTCCTCAAGACTCCTGGGGGCTCCACCGGGGCGGGGGGCAGGTGGCCCGGGAGAGGCCAGAGGGCGGTGGGGCCGGGCCCCTGGGTGGCCCCTCCACGGAGCCGGGGGGCGTCCTGCGGGAGGGCTGGCCGCTGCCTCCCCCGGACGCCCCCTCTCCGAGGTCAGGGTCAGAGCTGTCAGAGGCGTCCAGCGAGGTCTGGGACGAGGAGAACCTTCTGGAGCCTGGCTCGGGGCCCTCCTTGTCTACAGGAGGCTCGTCCCACCTGGAAAATGGCGGGGCGCCCGGCTCTGCACTTGCTTCCTTGGGCCCTGGGGAGGGGCAGGAAGCGTCTGGAAGCACTGGGAGCCTCATCCGTGAACTCACCACGGAAGAGGGCCCAACAGACGTCCCCCGAGGCTGCCCGCGTGCCCTCCCGTCCACGCCCTCGTTCTCCAGTGACTTGGACCTGTCCCTTTCCTCTCCCTCGGGGTCCTTGGCATCCGAAGGGGCGGATTCTGGCAGAGGAGAGACCAGGCCTCTGCAGGCCTCGGCTGCCTGCCCAGAGGGGCCCTGGGACGCTGCCCTGAGTCTGCCCAGCGACAGGACGCCACGACAGTCCCAGTCTGAGCCTGAGGTCCCCGTGACCCCGCGGGCTCCTCCTGGGGACCCTGGCGGTCTGGTGGCCCTGACACCCCAGGGCTGGGCACCCAGATGTAGGGGCAGTGGAGACTCCCCTGCCCCCGAGGAAGCCTGCCCCACGCCGTCCAGCAGGGCCTTGCCTGAGATCCTGTCCCCCGTTGACGAGGTGCTATCCTATGGCAGTGCCGACCTGTCCTCCGCTCACAGGGATGCCCACCTCCCTCCTCTGCCTCCCACCTTCCCAGCAGAGGATTTGGCCAACACGACCAGCCCCGACTCAGGAGACTTCCCTTCCCCACCTGAGGATGTCATGTCTCCTGGGAGCTTGCCGGGCCCCCCGGGGGAGGATGCCTCCATCAAAACTGGGGAGTTGCCCTCCTTGTCTGAGGAGGACACACCCGAGGCACCATCCCCAGGGCCCCAGGAGTCGGGGCTCTGCCTGGGGGCAGGCAGACAGGGCGGAAGCCTTGGGGACAAATTGGGTGAGTCACATTCGGTTTCCAGGGATCAGGCTGTGGGCAGCCAGTGGTCTGACCCAGCCGGCTGGCCAGGGTGCCCCTCTGGGGGCAGGGCAGGAGACGCCCCTGGAGGGCTCCCAAGGCTGCCGGTGCGGCCCCCGACCCTGTCCAGAGTGGCCTTTATGGCCGGGGAGGGTCCACCAATGCTGTCAGCCGCTGGCAGCCCTGGGCAGGGTGACCCAGCTCCTGCTCTGGGCGCGGGCCCCTGCGCTGACCTGCCGGGCACGGAGGGAGCCAAGGTGGTGGATTTGGTCTCCAGCCAGCTTAGCAGGAGGATCCTGTGCGACACACTGGCTGTGCTCTTGGAGCCGGCCCAGCCGGCGGCCCCCTGACGGAAGAGCCGCCGTGTCCCGCAGCCTGGCCCGGCGGCCGCTGCAGGGCCTCGGGAAGACAGGGCCCACGGTGACATGGGGTGCCATTGCGCATGCGTGTGCATGGTGTGTGGGATGCTCTGGGAAGCCTGGGCCACCGAGGGCAGAGCCACCATTCAGAACAGCCTGCCTGTGGCTGGCCTCCAAGTAGTCGTCTGGTGCTGGGCTGGGGCCTGGGCGGGGACATGGCGGCCAGTGCGGTGAGCTCTGTGTTCTTCCGGATGTTGGGGCCGCTGCGTCCGTCAGGCGCCTGGAAGGGCCCCTGATCCAAAGCCTTTAAGAGGCGGGAAGGTAAAAGGTTGTGCGGGCGTGTCCAGAGGCTGGCGGGTCGAGGAAAGGTGTGGAGGTCATGGATTGACAGAGAACGGTCCGGAGGGGAGCGGTCCCCAAGGACGAACTGGAGACCACATGCCAGGAGGCAGAGCCATCGGCAAAGGCGGGACGAAGAGAGAGAGAGCCGCTCTGGGGGGACAGGGGGGCAAGGGGCAGTGGAGACGGGCTGGGGGTCACGTCCGCACGGACTCACACCCCAGCTTGGCGGCTTCTGAAGGCCAAGGGCATGCACGTGGGCCGACCCCACTGTGGACATCACAGATCTGTCAACTCAAGGGCCGGAGGTGACCAGTCACGCCCCAGGACTGCCCTCTGGCGGGAGGTGGGCCAAGGGCTCCTTGAGGACTCAGGACTCCGGGAGAGGCCAGAGTCCGATTCCTGGTGGCTGTCCACCATCGAATGACCCTCGGGATGCAGGGCGGCCTCGGAGCAGGGAGCAGTTTGCAGAGGTGTTCTCGGGTGCGATCCCTCTAGGGCTTGGCTCCTCCCCTCCAGGGCACGGACTTCCCCGGCCTCAACAGAGGAACTCCTTTGGAGATGACACTTATGGACCCCTGGGGAGCCGGCGACTTCTGTGCACTTGCGGTTAGCTGGGGGGCGTGGAGGAGCCCAGAGTTCTGCCTGTGCCCTCCACCTTCCAGCCTGGGAGCGGCGGCCGCCTCCAGGCAGCCCTCCACCAGGCCCCCGCTTCCGGGCAGCCTCCTGTATCCAGGCCAGCTGCTCGCCAGACGGACTTTTGTCACAGGCTCACTCGTCCGGTTTCACGGCTCAGGGAGGCACCAGCTGAGACAGTTCATGCTGATTTCGCACTGGGTCCCCCCACGCCCACCAGGGAACCCCGGGACGGGCTCGGGCGGGGGGCAATGTGCTCTTGCTGTGCGTATGCGATTTCAAAACAACTTCTGAGCTACAGGTTTCCTATTGATTTCCTTCTAGTTTTCTGAACAAATCAGTCTGTAATTTTTTATTTTTTTTCTATTTATTGCTGACCCTTTTGGATTTACGAGGCCGTGCGAGAGGGATTATGTATTTTACACACACACGTTTGGCATGGTAATAAATCTCCCACCTCAAAACCCTGCAGATTTGCCTCAAACCCCATCGCCCCCTTTCTGGTCGCCGTGGGGGGGGGGGGCGGCTGTGCTCTTGGCGGGGC